GCAGGAATGAATTAGGCTCTCACAAGGTACTCAAAGCCACAGGACACTGTATTTGTGGGGAATTTAGCTGCCCACACGTCTTTTAACAAGCACTGCCAAACACTGGCCAAAGATGTTCATGTGTTACACAGAAACCTGCTCTAATCCAGACAGTACAGGTTCTTGACAAATAAACAAGAATCCCCCAAACCCAGGAACTGTAGCTGAGAAATTGAAAGCGACACCAATGAACAAACTATCTGAAGGTAACATAGTAAAGTGTTTATTTGTTTGACTTAGAAAAGGTCTCCAGCATAATTCACTGGACACATATACATTAAATATAAAATGCATACCAAAAGAAACCCAGAAGGCACACATTCAGCCAAGAGGCTCATTCAGAACCACTCACCATTTCACGCCAGAAAGAAAGAGCTGCAAGCCCCAGCTTTGTTACTCTCTGTCTAAAACCAGGACTACAAGTGTAGGCCCCATGGTGTGCCACACAGATCAGCAAACCTGGGCTGACAAGCCAAAAAGTAAACAAGATCTGGAGAAGAGGCATCCTCTTGGGATTGTCCAGTGTCAGGACACAGATGCCAAAGAGAACTAATCTTGTTATTTAAAATAGCAACAGAAAACCAAATGTCTCCCATCTTTCCTGCCCCCTTGGGAGGTTAGTGACTTGGTTGTGAGAGCTGGCGTCTTGGGCCAGGACCAAACAATAGCTTATTTGAAGACTGCTGTGGGTACTGCTGTACCTTCAGCCTCCGCTAGCAGACTTTCAACAGAATTCAAAACCCCTGCTCATTGCCCCTCTGCCCCCCAGCAACATCAACCACATTTTAGCTGGAGAGTGATAGAAATCCATTTTACAGGTCACAGCCTCAGGTTTCTAGTACTCATCAAGAACCACAATTAGCAAAACTAGTAAAAATAAATGCGGTCACTTCACCTAGACTCAGATCTGTTGCCATAGGAGCAGCCAGATAGTCCAAGTTCAGCTGATATTATCTTCAGGGAAGAACAAGTTCCACCAGAGTCTGAAACATCCTCTCTGGATCAGCGAGGCTGCATGCATCCCCGAAGAGTCACACTGAGTTTAAGGAGCAGATTCATATCATGCAAGAAAGCAAGTTTGCTCTCTCAAATTAAGTAATTAAAGAGTGTGTGATAAGCTTAAGGAGTTCTACTAGCCCCTGGAGTCAAGGCATGAGACTCGCTTCTGTGACAGGGGAAGGAATTTAAAAACAAGTGAAAACTATCTTTCAGGAACTGGTGTGGCAACAAAACAGAAGACAAACAGATGAGACTCTCACTGGAAAGGAGATCCTGTTAGTTGACAAGGTGAAAGAAAAGTGATCTGACATCCATCATAGGAAAGAGAAAGTAAAGCACATTAATAAGCAAGCACAGAAGGGAAGGAAAGGAAGGGCAAGTGAAATCAGCCTCTAAGAGTATTTTTTAAGTCACTCCACCCAAGATGAGGCAACAAAGACATGAAAACAAAGAGATAGAGGACTTCCTGGAAAACCTGACCATATACATCAACATGATACTAATTAGTTAATTAGCCTATTGCACAATTAAAAAATAAATAAATATCTTAAAAGTCTGGGAGAACAAGGAAGCACCAAATGACAATATTCTTATCAGAACAAAAAGTGAAACAATGTTGGCCTGATAAATTTATCTGTGATCTCTGCTAACAAAGTGAAATAAATACAAGGAGGAAAAAAAAATCTCCAAAACATCTGGAGAATAACAGAAGTATGACAAAATCAAGCCATTTTAGACAATCCTACAAACATACAGCAAGTAGCTTTTGGCACATGAGCTGTATACCTGAAGCCAACAGGATAACTCATGGATTAAGTTACTTCTACATCCAAGTGATGGTGTCATTTCCAATACCTCTTTACTCCCATTACCAGGAGCAATTTTATAAAACACTGCTGGTAATAGAGCAGCAGAGTACCCAACTGTAAAACTACAGCTTGTTCCCAGAAGGCTCTATAGAACAGCTACACAGAGTAGCAAGCATTTAACCCACTAAGTGAGGATGAGTATATTTAACAAAGGGTACAATACCTTTGGTATTTTTGGGTCTCAAGACATTCTACAGGGTAAACTCAGAATAAAACAAACTCCTTGCCATTCAAGTTAAATACACTTCCAGGAAAGGCAGTTAATCAGTCAATCAATCAATCAATCAATCACATTTTATCATCAACTACAGACAGCTGTTTCAGCGTAACAATCACTACTACAACCCAGCACCTAGAAGAGTCTTTGGAACAGCTTGTTCTGTGTTGGGAGTGCAGCAGTTGTCTTTGCTGTGAATTCCTTGTGCAGTGAAAAACCCAAATGGTTTCTCTAAACAAAAAGAAAGAAAACAAAACCTGTGTTTTTCTTATGTCTGAATAGTTTTTTGGCAAGCAGGTATGTTAGTTTTCAGGTGTCTACTTAAAATTAGGATTTATTTTTCTTAGCTATCACAGAGGGCTTATTTATGACAACAGAGTATGTAATTTAGATGGCAAGAAGGCAGAGTGAAACATCAATCCACACACTGAAAAAACAAAAACAACCTGCTTCACCACTCTATTAGTGAGTAGAACTGGAAAAGAGCCAGCGAACAAGAGGACAGAGGTGTCAAACAGGTCCCATATAATGAATAGCTATGTATACCATGGACCTGTAACTTGGAAAAAGTGATGACTGAGGACATATATGATATAGGCCTGTAAAATCACAAGTGGCAAGGAGACAAGGAATATGGGTGGATTCACCACATCTGACAGTGGAAGAATTAGGGTCACTCGATGAAATAATCAAGAAAACCATTGAAACAGCCTGAAAACAGTTCTTTTCATACCACACAATGAACTCAGGGTTCATTGCCATAGAACACTGTGGAGGCCAAAAGTAGAAAAGGATTTTTGAAAAGGGACTAAGTGCATTCATTAAGGCCAGGTCCAGAAGGAACTGCCAGTTCAGAAGGTTCATAGACTGCTGGAACAGTGTCAAGAGAAAGACCTCTGTATACAAGCTTTACTATTTTATGCTTCTGTGATCATCTGCTATTGGTTATCCTCAGAGACCGGAGAGCAGATCAGATGGCCTTTGGTCTGATTGCATGCAGTGCTTCTTATGGATCAAAGCTCTTGATTTTGGCATGGCTTACAGTTTGGAAAGGTTAACTTAAAAAGAATGGAACATTTGAAAAGCTTGTATGCCTCCTCTGCTTCCTCTTTCAAGCCTCAAAGATGTGCTCCTTAATCATTCGGTTTCCATGAATGGTAAAGTATTGCTGAATTATCAACTAACAGGATTTTTGTAACTGAAGGCTGCATTATTGCTCCCAGATCCTGCCCAGTCCCCTTTCAAGGCATTTCTCCTGACTCACTCTCAACGGCAGGTTAAACATTCCCCTATATTAAATTTTTTTTCTCCTTAGTACATTCTTGCTTAATCACTTTGTTCAACTGCTATATTTATGACATGAAACAGTTAAAATACTAATCTGTTGGCCTCTGCTAGCTAAATCCTACTCCCAGACCCTTCGCTTCTGTGTGGATAAGTGACAACAGGAATCTACAGGAAGACTCCTTGTGGACAAAGGATTGTTACACTGTCTGTAAACATTCTTATTTCACCCAGAATTTGCCACTTCGATTGGATTTAGCCTTCCAGCCAGTCAGACCAATACATTTCTGCAGTGCAGTAGAGTAAACAACGCAACGCAGTGATTCTGAGTCTGTAGCTAGACTGATGTAGCAGCACAAGTCAGAAAATCTCCTGCATTTACCTGGACACAGAGCAAGCTCTGAGACCAGTCATCACTTGTTTTTATATATAAAATATGTGTGCACACAGACATATGGACTAATACATTCAGCACTAAACCTCCTTTAAAGGACTGACCATCCGGAGTCTACACTTCACCCAGCAAATGTGCTTTAACCGGGGGTGCCAAGTGCATCCAGGACCACACAGTGGCTTTATAGACCACTGAGTGAGGACATGGCTGTAGGTTCAAAATCAATCAAGAAGTTACTGTTCCAGCTTGTTCAGTCTTCAGTTCTCCAGATAATCTTTCCCAATCAAGATAACACACAGGTAGGTTGCTTGTTTTTATCGCTGGTAGTGGAGTTTGGACTTGGGTTACCTGAAACGAAAAGAAGTTATAGTAATGTTAACATTAAGTAAAAAAGACCTGGATAAAGTTTGAACTCACTCTTCAGTCTTCTCTTGTGATTTGCTCTACAACTTGTGTTAGACCTGCAATACTCTGGACTCTCTCGTGGTTTTATTTCCTACTACTGTGAAATGAAGAGACATTAAAATAAGAGCAAATTCAGAGTACACTGTGGAGAAAACCACTGGAGAAGTATTTTCAAGGTTTTGGCCTGTACCCAGGCCAGCTTCAGTGGTATTCTCAGGTTCCAGCTGGCACTGAAAAACAGTCTGGCCATGACTTGGGTGGGAGGTTTTCCAAAGAGTGAGGTATGAAAAAAAAAAAAAAGACAAGTCATCTCATCCATTTGATCCCTACACACATTCTCAGTAAAGGTTTTTCATGTCCCATTTTAAACATGTCAGATGCCTGTATTTCCATCATTTCCTCTGCAAGACAAATCCCGAGGCCTCAGGGTCTTTCACTTAAGTATCACAGTGCGCTGCCCCAATTTTTTATCATCATAGTTTTTTTCATTGCTCCCTCTATGGATTCCTTCTGCTCCCAGTATCTGTACTTTTCAATGCTTGCATTGCTGTCTGATCTCCTTCATTACAGCCAGCTCTTGATCTGGATGCCCGAGCATACTTTTTTCAAGCACCATACTAAAATACGTTTGCATAGGCTTTTGCAAGTAAGGAGCTCATCTGCGCTCTGAGCTCAGCAAGGCTTACATGACCTATAGCCCAGGGCAGTACGTACTGAGAGGGGCTGCCATGTGGCTTGCAGTCTCTCTGAGCAAGGGCATACCTCACTCATATATTTGTACAGAAGGAAGGTGTATGTGCATTTCCCAAGCAGTTGGAGCCAGTGGCCAGTACAGCGTAAGAAAAACTGCCACAGGTCATGGTGACATACTACTAAGAAGTCTCAACCTTGCTAAGATGAGGGAGCTTTCAACCCAAGCACTGCCTCTGAACTGGGCTTCAAGTGAATAATTTTTCATGTCACTCTCTTGCTTGTGGGTATTGGATCAATTTCTTCCTCACCCATATGTGATGGGGAAGAGAAGAGCTCTCTTCTCTCGCCCTCCTTTTCTCCACCTTCTTCCACACTGCAACTTCTTGATTTCCACGTGGGAGACTGCACTGCAACCTGCCCTCACTTTTGTGGCTGCCCTGTATGCTACTGCCTCCTCTCCACATCTCCCCATAGCATTTCATTCTACCTCCTGTCCCTGCTTTGACCCATTCCATGTGTAACTACTAAGTTTATCGTTACTCCTATCTCCTTACCACCCCTGTTCCCCTCCTTGTCTGTATCACGTTCAAGAACTTCATGTTTACTTTCAAAAGTGTCTGTGCTCCTTTGCTTAATCTCAGCTCCCAACTCCTTTATTCTTCTCACTTTCTGCTCTTGCTTTCTGACCTTTTTCTACAGATCTGCTGCAGTTAGAGCAAATACTCTCCTTGTATGTACCCAACAACGTTCCCATCTTTCTCTTTAGAAAAGGAGCTGAAAATTCCAGTTACCACCTGTCCATGATCCCACTTCAGCTGAAAAGCACTGGTGATAACTAAGCAGCTATTTCTGCAGTATTCCAGTGCCCAGTGTAAATCTCATTTCTTGTTGCAAGAAGCATCCAAAACTGAAACACAAAATCCTGCTATTAAGCATACGTGTTCTGCCACCAACATTCACAAGGAGTGAAGGCTTATTTATGGAGCAGCTCAGGACAGCAGACCCTTCTGAACAAGCCCACTTTGCTTCTTGCAGAGGAGAAGACAAAAAGGCAGCGCCTTCCAAAGACACATAGCTTTCAAAGCCTTGCAGTATTTCCCAGAAACTGCACTCAGACATCAGTGTCTTTTTGCTGATCACAGTCTGCCCCGCAGGAGCTTAAAAAGAACAAGATTCTGGTCAGGTTCAGAGCTGCTGCTGTTGTGTTCCTAAGCAGGCAACAGTGAAATCAAGAGTTGTGTCAATTTGATTATGTGGTTTAAGAAAGCCTTGTAAGACAAAGCACAGTCTCCATGCAGTGTGGTAGGACAACACCTCAGGATGTTGACTTGGACACTTGGTTTAGACCATTATTATCTGCAGCTTTTGTATTTTCCAGACTCCAGATTCTAACTTGTAGGTATCCTTTTCTAGCATGTAAATACTGAGTCAGATTTCCAGCCTCTGTCGCAGAACACACTTTCATCACTTCCCTTCCCAGTTCAGATTCTCTTCATCACCATTTGCTCTTACAAGACTGAATCTGACCTTTAGCCCACTTGAATAATGTCCTTCAATTACTCTGTGAGCTACTCAGGGTATGGATATGGTCTCTCTATGCATTTGCAAGGTGGGATGTGTCTCTGTGGTACTACAGAATTAAAAGTGACTTTGGAGGATGTGCGCACAAGCAGGCCCACAGGGCTTAAGTGTGCTGTTTAATCTTTACAAAAGTTAAGGGCAGCTATTTCAAACTGTGAAGCTCTGAATAATTGCATCCTAACCCAAAGGCATACCATGCACCTTCTTCCTCCTTCATTTCCACTTACTACCTTCTTTCTGTCACCCAGAGTATCACAGCATCCATTTTCACTAGACATGCTCAAAGACAGCTTAAACTTTTAAAACTAAGTCGGTCCTACAGTTACCCAAGAACAAAGTGCCTCCTATTTTTATCTTGAAGCTGGAATTTTATTCCATGCCCATGTTCAAGAATATTTTATTAAATCCTAATGAAGCATGTGCTACTGATCAAGTAACTGCAGAATCTTCTGGGTAACTAATTTTTTTCCTCTTTCTCATGAGTCTCCATCTTCTTAATGTTTCTTCCACCATCTCTGTTCACATGCCACTTTGGGACCATTAGACTAGAGAAGCTTTCTCTCAAGAACAGTGATTCAATTCAAAAGCAACACACAAGCAGTGGCCTCTAGTCTTTTACAACATCAGACGACCTAAATCTACTTACACCATACTTCAAAAGCTGTGGAGTCTCCCATTGCCTCCATGAACAGGCATTCTCAATTTGCATAAAACAAAAAAAAAATAGGGCGTCCTTGGAAAGACTTATCAGGTCAGGAAGAGCACAGCGCGAAGGCTGGTGTGCTGGACCTCTGCGCGCCTTCCCTGCACTTGTTCTCAATTCCTCGTTCCCCTTTATTGAAAGAGGTGGCAACCCTCAGGAAGTAGCAGTGGCAATAAATGAAACCTGAACATAAACGAAACCTGAACATAACAGCGTGATAGTGTCTTTGCGGAAATGGTCCAGACCAAGCATCAGCCTGTCTGGCACAGATCCACTGTGCTAAACGGAACGGGGACATCCCTGCTGTCCTGCCTGTGCCATGCCCCAGAAGGGCGCAGTGTCCCACTGTTCAACCAGAGTCTCTTGTGTGCCTTTAATCTGGGCCTAATTTCATCCTGACATTGCTGGAATAGCGGGCTGTCTGCCTGAAAACAGCTGACAGTGAGAAATGTAGGGAATCTCTGACACTGCAAAGTGCTGACAAGTCGCAGATGACGCAGTTCTCTACTTGTGTCACTAGAGGGTAGTGCAAGCCCTCACGTCCCTTCCCCCGAGAGGAAATGCCCATATATCTCCCTATAGGTCTTCACCGGTTTTGTTTTTCCTGACCCTGAGGAATGGGGCCCAGCAGCACGTACCGTCTGTGCTCAAGACGTAAAGTGATTTGGAGAGAGGGTCTCTTTAGACCCGAGTTTACTTCTGCATCCCCAAATGCCAAATGCATATCCTAAAATGGGTCTCCTGTAGTCTTAAATAAACTATCCATCCCTTCCTATAGTTCCTCTTTCTTGTGTTAATTTGGCATTTTTGAGTCTGTCCTTCATTCATCCAGAAATATGTCCAAGAACCTAATCAATCGCTGTTGGTGACCTTCCCAATACCTTTCTTTCTTTTTTTTTTTTTAGTCTCAGGAGAATGTCTTTCCATTTCACATCATGGCAGTCTCAAGGGAATTCAGTCTCTCTACGCTTGTGTTTTGCATTCATCAGAGCACAGAACAGTCTCTGGCCAGACAAGTTGAGGAGAAATTTTCTCCCTGAACGAGTTTATTTTCCTGCTGGTGCAGGATGTATTGACATCCAGTACAGCTCACTGAGAGAGGAAGACAATGAGGCTGAACAGTCCATAGATTTACTTCAATCTGTCAAAACATATAAAACACTGGGAAGTTAGCTATGAACCCATAAATCGGGAGAAATCTTTATCATTTGTGTCTTCAACTGGATGAAGCCTTGGAAGGACTTAGTGAAAATATCAATCATGTTAGCAAAGAAAAAGTTGGGATCTAGTACTTCTCCATAGCTTTATTTTCGTGACTTTCTCCCGCATTTCAGAATATGATAAAGTAGAAAATTAAAAAGACTTCCACCCTCTCCTCCACTCCTTGTCCCCTCACCTCAACATACACTTTTCCTCTCTTCTTCACCAATAACTTGTCACAATAAACACACCTGACTAAACCCAAATGAGGAAAGGAGCAGATACATGGAAAATGCCTGCACCCTGCTAGCCACTATGACACTGAACATACTGCTGCTGTTCATTAGGGCAGTGCACTTCACGAACTGTACACACAACCTGTTCTACACAAGGAGACATTCAACTTTCTCTCCCTTTGTCCCATACCTGCTTGCTGAGAAGTATGAGAAAACATTTACATAAGAAGTACCAGCTTTACAATAAGACTGCCATTAAATTGCCTTCAACTTAAATTTACTGTATCATTTGATACAACTTCTACTCTTCTTTGATCCTGCTCATTTTAATATAGCTGAAATAACAGGATCTGCTAACAGGTGCCTATATTGAATATGTTCACACCAATCAGACAAACTCAGAAGAATGGACACAGAAGAGAATATGCTGGTAGAAGAGGTTTTACCTGAGATGCCTCCAGTGCTCCGAACACTGCCATGGCCAATGCTGAGCCGCTCATATTCCAGTTTCATGTTCCCAAGGTCTTCTCCTGAATGCCCTTCACTGGCAAAAGAATTAGCCTCAATGCTTGAGCCTGGAGACCGTTTGGCCTTGCGACTGAAAAGCCCACTGGCAAACCGTTTTCCTTGCTTCGAATTGGCCTGTGCATCTTCTTTCTTCACATCACGAATAGACTCTCTGGATTTGGATTTATTTTTCAGGTCCATTTGGAGCCGGGAGAACAGTTTCTGGGGGCTCCGATTCAGCTTGTTCAAGTTCTCCAGAGGTGGATCAATTTCTGGGAACTCTTGCTCCAATGTGACTAAGTCATTCAGAAACTGATTTAACCGTTTCTTTGATTCACTTGTTCCCTCCTTTTCCATGTTCCCCTGACTATCCTGCCTGTGTCGTGAAGCCCAGAGCATCATATCACCACGGGTTGCCCCTGCCACTAAACCATACTTGGGGTTGATGAACTTCCGAGCCACAGTGGAGGAATGGAGGCCTGGCTTCCCAGTTCCGAAAAGGAATGGGTTAGCAATACCCAGTTCTTTGTAGAAATTAACTTCCTCTGAGATGGCATAGAGCTCACGAAACTCAACGTCAAACATCTCCACGTGCTGTCCTGTCAAGACTAGCAGGATATTTCTGTCAATGTGGGATGAACTCCATGTGAAGCTAAGAGTAGGAAACAGAAGCAACATTAAATTTTTGGGTGTATACTTGACCCAGCCCACCTAACAATATCTAAGACACTACATGGGAATATGTAGCATTGTGCCATTTGCCCATATATCCTTGCCAAGATGGGTCAGGATAGATACATAAAGCTTTTTATTGTTGTTCTTCATTAGGCATGCAGACCAGATCTGGAGGAAAAGGCCCTAAAGCTCTGAAGGACAGTTTACCCTTTTAAAAAAACAACACTGCATCAGAAGGAGGAGTCTCCAGACTGAAAACCTCACTGAAGAGAACTGAGCACAGTGGCTGGTGGAAAGTCCTCACAGACTACCACCTGATGCAGGGTGAAACTATCTCTAGCCCCCTGAAATGGTCCAGTAGCATGGGCATGTTCCATTCTCTCAGGAGCATCTTGTGCTCTATGTCACCTTCTCTGTTGTCCCACCCCAATTTCTACAGATGCCACACAGATTACAGAGGCTGGGATAAGAAAGGGAATGACATGGGAAGAAGACTCTCAAGCAAAACCACAAGCCATTCTTTACACAAAGAATGTAGCTTTGCCTTAAGCAAGAGTGACCCACCTGTATGATCCAGTGGCCACCTTTTCACCATCCACCATCAGGAATCGGGATGCCAACGTGCCTCTGATCTTCCCTGCTGGCATGTAGAACCCAACTCCTGTCACAGAACGTATGCGGATATTCTAACAGAGAGGTGAAAAGACAAAATGTCACAATAAATAGGGCAGAGAATTAGATAATTGTCAGCTCCAAGTCTTAACATGTCACCCACATTATCTCACTACTTCTGGGACTACAGCTCATTTTGTATCAGCCACCAGAAATCAGAAGAGCTGCAGAAAGGAAAGCATAGTGTCGTAAGACCTGTTGTCATTCCCTGTCTATGCAAGTCACTCCCCTTCATCAGTTTATGGCCCTGTCCAATGGGTCAGCATCTTTGTAACCCTGCCTGCTGTCTTCAGCTATTCATCTTAGCCCCTGGGCAAGACAATGCTTTCAAAATCAAATAATCCTCCAGCGCCAGTCCTGTGCTGTAGCTCAGGAGGCCCAGCCCAGTTCAGGAGAATGAATCAGAGGAAGCTGTGAGTCACATCTGCACTCTCTGAATCCTCATAGCTATTCCATGGCACTTGTGAGCTCTTCTCCAGGTTACATTAGCAGGACCACGAAACCAAGGAACTTTGCAACACCTGTGCAGTGCAAAGGACATGGTTACTTGGAGGGTAACACATGAGGCAGATCTACACTAGGTTCTTTTTGTGCTTGTGTTCTGATCCAAACAACACACGGCTTGACAAAACCGGGCAAATTAGAAGACGGGACAATTTAATTAATACAGAAGAGAGGAGTAAACAATGCTATTGCTCAAAAGATAGATGTTTCCTGTCTGTTATAACAAAAGGAGAGCCCTGACTTTTATAATTTTGCTAAGAACCCCAAAGAGTTACAGTGTCCCCCCAGATTCCTCACTGTTCAACAGAGGGAAAACACACAGAACTTTCTTTGAACAAAAGGAGTAGGATAAGTGTCTCTACTGATATCCCAAATTGATCAGCAAAGAAGAATTTCTGAAGAATACAAAGGAAAAACTTTCCATTAAATGAATGGAAGTAGTTAGAAAAAGACAATACCTCTCCCCAAACCTCCCGTCTCACACCCTTTGGCCAGCAAACCTACAAGTAATAAAGCACTACCCAGGCAGAGAGAAAACACAGATCTAAGGTTACATGATTTTCAACAAAAGATGTGTGCCTGCACTTACTATAGGAATATACTTGGACACTGGACTCGGTGTTATTCTGCTCATGGGCTCTGGCTGCATGAGGCTGAATTGCCAAACTGCTTAACATGAAACACGCCCCGCCCCAAAATCCAAAAGCACTGCTTGTCAGTATAAGTTTAGAGCAAATTACCTTGTCACTCTGACACACAAATTTAGATCATTTTCTTCATTCCACCATCTGCTTTTGTAAGAATTCTTTAACAGTGAAAAGCTAAAAGGTATTGTGGTCTGGAGTAATACATCCAGGGTTGGGAGTCAGATGGTCCCAAGTGTAATCACAGTTCTGACACTATTCCCTGTGATGTTCTGGGAAAGTCAATGCACCTTTGCTCATTCTTCCCCATCTGCAAAGCAGGAGAATTGTGAGGATTTGGCTAATGCTAGCACAGCCTCGGATCCCACAAAGAGCTAAGTCCTATTATTATAAACCTCACTGACAGCTTAAATACTGATAGATTACAGAAGTCAGCATGCAGGAACGAGTGATTATACGAATGCAGATTTCTTTAAAAAATAATTTTCCTGAATATAACTCTTACCTTTTGAACCTGCTCCTATTTCCCCCACTAAAATACAGCAGTGGCAGTACAAATTCTGACTAACAGTAACTGATGATACTACTATGTTGCATTCTTCTGTTGCTTGATCTGTCTGGAGTCCTTTGTGGGCATTAGCTAATTAATGCTCCCAACACTGCTGAAAGTATTATTACCCTGTTTTACAGATGAGGAGCCTGAGAGAGAACAAGATGAAGTGACTTGCCCAAGGCCTAGCAGTGAGTCATATGTGTGGGATGCTGAATGCAGGTTGAGTAGAGCACAGGAGAAAGGGTGCCCTTTCCAGTATTTAGAATAACATTTGTAGTTGTCTGGCTGATCACCTGAAATATTTTTTTTTCCTTGCCGAGTAAAGTTGGATGTGGGATTTGCCAAATCATGGAATATTGACTGCAAGTGTCAAGAAGGGCCTCCGTTCTTCAAATCAGTCAGCAGCTCTGACATGTCATGGACCTTTATGAATCAAGAAGTATCAAAAAGAATCAAGTATAACGAGTGTGGATTTTATTGTGTTTGTATGTTACATCACCTTCTTTTGTTGGAAAGAAAGCATGTTTGAATTTCTGCAGTAACTGAGCTACACATAACATTTCGAAAGGCACAGAGGGGATAGAACGAAACAGCTGAACACATAAACCTCCTTGAACAAAGTAGGCACAGGAGTGCATAAATACATCTTGAAATGCAGAAAACAAGCACAAAGTCATATAAACATCAAGTCACTTAACAGGTTATTAGTATAATGTTTTCTGCCTTGAAGGATCTTGGAGCATTTGTAGACTGATATACCAAGCTGTAAAGAGGAGGAACAAGGCTGGGTTCGTGTACTGAAGACTATACAACAACAAAAGAGGAAAGACAACTATAAATGAAGTGAGATTGCAGCCATTTTGGGGGGGGCGGGCACTAGTGTTATAGTAGTAACAAAAATTTTGGGTAGAGGAACAGCTAGTTCACCAGACAGAAATGACCCTTCCAGATCTGTATTCTTGCAGAAGCCTGCTTAAGGTTTCTCATATCCTGGCTTATGGAAGCTGCAGTCTGCGTTAAATTTCCACATTTCCCTTTACACAGGCTTGCACCACTCCTCATCACAAGCAGTGACTAACATCTCCCTGGCAGCAAATTAATATGGACTGGTAACACTAAAGCCTAACAGAGCATCCTAACACAAACAGTGAAGGAATCAGTCTTTCTTGCTTTATTGTGACCCGCTTTTAAACCTCACCCTGAATCCACAGAAAGTTAAATTAGACCCAATTTAGAAAGTTGGTAATAGGTTGTGTTGTGACTGACGCTTAGTTGTTCCTTGACAGACGTGGGCGGCTGGGCTCACAAGCTGGGTTTGAGTAGAGGGGATACACAAGACAGACCCTAAAGGCAAGCATTACAGGTACTTCCACCAGAGCATCCTGTGCGTACCTCTCTCTGAGAACAACAACAGATATCTATGTTGCAAAGCAAGCAAGGGTCTTTATTTCAAGTTGGGAAGGGTGGAATGAACGACTTCTATAAAATAACAGATTTAAAAAAGATAAAGAACAGGCAACAGACCAAAGTAGTAGCTGACAGAGGACAGTCCCTTGATAGTCCCTTACACTAACTGTGTTTTTCAAAATGTAGAGATCTCCTTTCTGCTGTCTCTGGAAAAATCAGATCCCTTCAAGTCAACAGCATCTGCTGAGGTAGCTCTTGTCCTGTGTTTTCTTGTTCTACTGTTTCACCTGAGCACAAGGCTGAGGGGGAGGCTCCAGATGCCTGTTACTTCACACTCTAAAATCCTAGATGGTTAGAGGAAGAGAGATATGGGATTCATGTGGACAGGACCACAACAGTACCAACAACTTTCTTATCCAGAGTCTGCAAGGTTCTCATTTTTGTTGATCAGATCTCTAGGTCAGAGAGATGGTGGTAGGTGCTTATCTTACACAGGGATGCAAAAGCAGCCACAATCTGTAAATAGTCACCAAGTAATGCTGGGAAATATTGTGGAACTATCCTATGTGTTTGCCCTGAATAGTTTTGGAAAAGGATGCTTGTTGACAAAGTAGTAAAACTTGCAGGTATTCAAGTAGAATAGGATGGAATGCAGCTAGCTGGACCTGGCCTGCCAAGGTCATTACTGGGTATTATTTATTTCGGTCTTTGCAAAAATAGAGCCTTGTAAGCCTCCATTTTCAAAAGGTCACAAGCAGCCTAGAAGAATTCTCTAACAGATAATTAAAAAACCAACAGCACTGCATCACATTACATTCAGCTACTCCCTCACTTGAGTTATGAACTGATGAGGAAAGACATGAAATTCTGCAATGAAATTTCAAAAATTTCTTAGGCAGAAATTTCTAAGAATTCCTGGAGTGAGGGGAGGAACTCTTTACATGTTGGGAAAATGAATGTAAAAAATAACATGAAGGTGAACTTCCTGCAGGTAACTCATTCCCTGGGCTTGCTTGAAGCTCTAGATGAACTCCCTGTCTTTGAGCAGGAGTGTCTCTTACTGGGGTCTTGGTTAGGAGATGCATGGTGGAGAAAGAGAAAACACTCACCTTCATGCCAAAGAAAAGAGGGCTTTTTATGGGACTATGAATTTTGTATCTATGAGAACTTGGATTCATTGTGATCTCTGAAGAACACTCTTGCATCAAACAGAACAGAAGTCTGGCAAACCATGTCCTGTAGGCTCAGGAAGCCATATGACTCATGTACACAAGACACACTCTTACTAACATCCCAGGATGACTGTGCTGATGGGTGAACTTAAATGCATTTCTAGCTATCTCCGTCCTTCAGACAAAAATTGGTGCTTTCTCATTTCATGCTTGGAGTCAGTAAGGAATTCTTGTCTTTGCAGAGTGAGGTACTGTCTTCCTACAGCAGTTTCCCTCCTTTGAGACTTCCAGCAGATCATGACACCTTGCCATCTCAAAATGATACAATAGCCAGAAATTTTGTGAAAACTCCCAGAACTGTACGTAGACAAAGGGTAAAATCCAGTGTTAATAGTAAATCTCCTTGTATTAGGATTGTTGAAGTATTCACTCTGCATTGGATGAACAGGGCAACGGAAACAAAAGGGCAGGAATCACAGAACAATCTGAGCATCTGGTGATGACAGAAGACAGAATAAGCATCCTGACCCTGCAGCAATGACAGCCCATGGTAGTGTGTCATCTCTGTCCTTCCCTGGGAGCAGAACTTGCCTCTAAACATTGAAGTTTAATCCCAGATTGCTGCAACTGTCTGAGAAAAAGCCATCCTGTAAATCCTGCATGAACATTCCAAAGGGAAGGTGAGAAGAAGGGCAGAAGAAAAAGTATGCAATTATGTTGCTGACAAACTGTGGCCCACTGGTGAAAATCTTTTAGAAGCAAGCGAAATGCATACACAAAAAGAAGGTGGAAGAAGAGAATGTTTTCCCTGTTACTAAAAATCTGTAGAAGAAACTCAGACATCAAAGCAGATGTCAAGAGGAAGACATATCATAAATAAGAAATGGGTGAATGATAGAGTTAACTGTACTAGAGTTTCTTGTTCTTCCTCAGCAATTCCAGCATCCTCTGTGATCAAGCAATGTGAGACAAAATGATTCTGCCTGAACAAGACTGGCAGACCAGCTTGCTTTCTTGCTTTAAATCTGGGTCTTCAGCACTAAAAATTAAAAACAACCCTAGACACATTAGATCAATGAGTTGAGGGTGGGGGAAGACCTCCAGAAGACTAAACCTTGCATGAGACTCCTTGGGTATGTAAAGCCTGCTGTTGGGAATGATGATTTCTGCTACACTGACCCAAGCAGCAGCACAGATACATCCAAGGCAGCCTTGAAGCCTTGGGCAGGATACTAGGAGACCATCTTCCTTGAGAGGTAACTGACTCTTCCTAGTCTTTCCATAGTACCACTGACAGGAATAAACTGCATTGACCTTAACAAGACTAACAAAAGCCTTAGCCATACTGGAAAAGGAATACAACAGCCTTAAGGGGAATTTAAGATACCATAGAAGATAACTGGGGAAAGAGGGCAAAAAGTTGAAGGACAGCATTCTGGGGGCTGGAACTCTGCAGAAGAGTGAAGAACTAGGTCAAAGAAGGATGTTAAAAAGTTCTTCTCAATGGACCTCCTTCAGCTCATCTTGTATTTGGACTTTTTTTTATCTGAAAGAGTCTAATGAAAAACACAGCAAGAGCTGCTGTGAGAGAAGGGAAGCACAGAAGAGTTTCCTCCCACTTTTGATGGCATCAATTAGAATTCTGCCTTTTTAGAAAAGGTGACCTTGTAACGCAAATAGGCTGCTGCAAGACCTAGTCACTGCTCTAGAATGCCACTGTGATGATTGGTTTCAGTGTAAAGTCTGTGTAGATACCTATGGAGAAAGAGGTAAGAGAAAGAGCAGAAGGGGACTGCTTACTGTTTAAAGACAGAGAAGGCAGGCAAAAAAGCAACTCACCTCTCCAATAGCAACTGTTTCTAAAACACCAAGGCGTCTTTTCATTCATTCTATCTGTGATTTAAAATACACAGTACTGAAAGCATCGTTCCTGCACATGATGACATGGTAAGAAAAGTACTGGAAAACAGGTACCGGAGCAAATGGAACTACTGCTGTGATTTCAGAGTTTTGTACCAAAGAGACGAAAGCCTAGGCACAGAACACCCCTGAAGCTTGAAACAGGTCTATCATAATGATGTCTGTGTCTTGCTTTCAAAGACACCAAAGGAAAGAAACTTCCATCTCTGTTTTGGAGAAGAATGAGAAAGCTGCTCGGCTGGATGTCTTTTTTGATGAAGAAGTCCAGAAACTCAGAGCAGAGTGGTAGTTCACAAGAGCACTGTTCAGATCTATGCAAGTCATTTTCATACAGATTTAAGATGGTTCTCCTAAAATGGTTAATGTGAGCCTCTATAACCTTCAGAGCTTTTTGAGTTTTGATTGTGGTTTTTTTTTTTTTTTTTAATTATTAATTGAGTGTTTATGGAAGATTTGCCCTTCCTTCAGGAAAAAAGGCACCTTTTTTTTTTTTTTTTTTTTTACTGCTCAGAACAGTTGGATCACAAGAGGCGCAAGTCTTGCATCCCATAGGTTGTTTCCAAACTAGCAACTTTTTCAGCATTCAGAATAAGTCTGTAGTAGTGACAGTGACAAAAAAACATGAAAAAAGCAAGGAATACAATACTGACTAAGCACACAAAGGATTTCTGTCTGTATGCAATGGAATGAGATCCTACTGAGGCTACTTTTGCCAGCCAAGCTAGGCCAACTACTCTGCTGTGATGCATGCACTATACGAATGCATACTCTGATATGGAACTGAGTAGTTATGCTCCCCAATCTCTTATGTTCTCAGGCAAAGGAGGACTACAAGCTTTTTTCATTCCCACTGCTGGATAGGAAAGTCTTGATTTCACAGAGTATATGTGTCCCATAACTGAGATCCATGCAGACAACAACTCAAAGAGCTACTCTAGACTCTAGTTTGAATCCTCGCACAGGAGACCCACAGGAATTTCCTCAGACCATTTTCTTCCCAAACAGGAATTTTTAGGTCACAAGAGCCAAAAAAGTACATAGACCCATGTCTGGGGTGAAAGGCAAAAAATCCAAATCTTTGCTTTCTATTTCCTTCTGTATTAGCAAGCCACTCTCTTATCCCTCTCTGTTCCATCAAACCCTAAGTGCTATGATGTGACCTGTAGGGAGGAAGAGATGTGTTTGCATGTCCAAGTGAGTTCCAAGATTCATTACAACTGAAAAAGGCCACTGATGTGCAGGAGATAATGGTTCAGTATTGAACAACTTACCCGGATCTGCAAGTCACTGAGGTCAAGGCATCTGCACATTTCCAGGAAGAGCTTCACACCTTCCTCATCTAGGATTATATAGACAGGGATCCAGCGCTTATATGCTGCATCAACAATATCGCGGAAGATGTCCCGGTCTGTAAATACATCCATGACCACGGCAATAATCTGGAAACAAGAAGACAGCATAGACCACTGAGTAAAATGCTAGGAACTGAAAGGGAGGCCCATCACGCTGGTGCAAAATAAATGAGAGCACTGATACCAGAATATAGAGGAAGAAGATACAGGGGAGGCAAAAGTACAGGGATTTTGTGCTGGTTTTGGTTGGGATAGAGTTAATTTTCTTCATAGTAGAGAGTATGTGGCTATGTTTTGGATTTGTGCTGGAAATAGTGTTGGTAATTCAGAGATGTTTTTGTTACTTCTGAGCAGTGCTTACACAAAGTCTAGTCTTTTTCTGCTTCTCACACCACTCCACCAGCAAGTAGGCTGGGGGTGCACAAGAAGTTGGGAGGGGACACAGCAGGGATAGCTGACCCCAACCAACCAAAGGGACATTCCATACCATGTGACATCATGCTCAGCATGTAAAGCTGGGGGAAGAAGAAGGAAGGGGAGGACATTCGGAGTTAATGGCATTTTGTCTTCTCAAGTAATCGTTAGGTTTGATGGAGCCCTGCTTTCCTGGAGATGGCTGAACACCTGCCTGCTGATGGGAAGTGGTGAATGAATTCCTTGTTCTGCTTTGCTTGTGTGCGTGGCTTTTTGCTTTACCTATTGAACTGTCTTTATCTCAACCCATGAGTTTTATCACTGTTACTCTTCTGATTCTCTCCCCCATTCCACTGAGGGGGAGTGAGCGAGCAGCTGTGTGGGATGCAGTTGCTGGCTGGGGTTAAACCACAACAGTCCTTTTTGGCACCGAACATGGGGCTCAAAGGGTTCACGATAACAACAAATTTGATTGAAATGTGCTAGATCGAATTTACAGCTGTCATTGCTATTTAGCTATTAATTGACAAGCTCCTGCGTTTGCCATGGGACTTGCTTGCTGTACTGGTGTATATTAGAGCCTAGTGCTCGTTAGTGGCTGCTTTTTGCTTTTGCTGCTTGCTGTACTGCTTATCATCTTACTCTGCTGTGCCTGGAAACATTCTGATAACAGCAATGGCTGTGCGCCTGGGCTGGCAGATGGCCAGGGTATTGCTGCTGTTTCTGTGCTGCTGCACTGGACAGGCTGGAACTCGAGTTGAAGGGACTGTGATCTGTGGATGAGTCCATGTGGGAGCAGGACACCCCGAAGAGTCTGTGATCATGGAAAAGTCCACACCAGAGCAAGTACATCTCAAAGGGTCTGTGGCCATGGTTATGTCTGTGCTGCAGCAGGTGTACCTCTGAAGAGACTGTGGCCCAAGGATAGGTCCCCACTGGAGAAGGTACACCTCAAAGCATTGGTGGATAAGTCCAGGCTGCAGCACGTACACCTTGAAACATCAGTGGCTGTGCATGAGGTCATGCCAGAGCACCTCAAAGTGTGTGGCCTGTGACAGAGCAGGTACAACCCTAGAGGGACTGCAGGCATGGGTAAGGCCATGTTGAAGTAGGTTTACTTCTGAAGGGACTGTGGTTTTGGGAAGGCCATGCTGGAGAAGCTGTATCTTTGAAGGCACTGTGGCCCATGGAAAAGGTCACAATGGAACAGGCACACCTCAAAGTGACTGTAGGTGTGGATAAGTCTATGCCACAACAGGTATACCCCTGGAGAGACTGTGGCTCTGCTGAGCAGTGCTCACACAGAGTCAAGGCCTTTTCTGTTTCTCACCCCACCCCACGTGTGAGTGGGATGGGGATGCACAAGACGTTGGGAGGGGACACAGCTAGGACAGCTGATCCCAACTGACCAAAGGGATAGTCCATACCATACCACCATAAGGCTGGGGTTAAATCACGAGAGATGTACATGCCCAAGCACTACCAATAACCTTGTAATTTTCTGGCATGGCTCCTGCTGCACTTTGGAAGGAACTTAATAAATGCCTTTGAGAGTTCTCCTTCTTCTAGGGGAAGATGGCTTATTTCAGCAGACTGAGGAATGCCAAAACCAAATACCTAGTTTTTCCTCTCTATTGTGAAACTTCTGTTGCCCCTGTAAGGATGCACTTGAACAAAGAGCACTGAAAACAGATTGAAGAAGAAGAGTGAAAAACATAGCTCTAACACTTAATCAGAAGGTGAGTAATGGAAGAATGCTTGTGCAGAGGAATCAAGGCCTGAATACCAGCCATGGTGCATAGCGCAGACAAGAATTTTATTTTCCTTTTTTCTCAATTCCCTGTGAGAAGTCCGCTCTCAGGGCTGGCTTCACAAGGAATGTCTTATGGAGCTCAAACATAAACACCTCATATTTGTCAGGAATTGACTGGAGTGTGTGTGCAAGATTTGGAGGCAAAATGACTGTTCCTTCTCTTCACATGTACCTTTTTTCTGGTATAAAACTAATCCCTCTTTCCAGGCATAGATTTTACAGAAAAACAAAAGGTTGCACTGACATAACAGACAAGCCTGAACATTCCTAGGATGAGTAACAACAAAACCAGGAAGGTTATGGGCAACTTTAATGCTGATCTTACATGTGTCATCTTTCTCTCCCTTTCTGCATTTTCTACACCATTAGAAATAGCAGTTCACCCTTCTGTCTGAAAGAGTTATTCTCCCCAACATTTGGAAGGCTATGAAAGAAGAAAACTACTGTTTTCCTAGTCCCACTGGGAAACATCAGCTTGCCAGGTCAGAGCTCTCATCCTGACCATATGCTGGGAATAGAGGTGCCTAAATTTTAACTTCGCAGGCACTCGGGGCGCAGTGACGAGCCAAGCTGCACCAGGGACGGCTCATACAGGTATGGAATGGACCTGAAGACTGGATCAAACAGTAGGATTTTCTTCACTTGAAGTTTGGAAGAGATGCAGCTCAAGTTGCAGGAGCCACCTGTGGAAGGGGGAATAATTCTCACCACAGACCCCTGTCCTTTGAAAAATGCCCTTGAACAAATTGCTTTTGGGAAAGTGATACCACAGTAAATGTCCCCTATTGTGTTTGCTGAGTCGCTGCTTCTACGGCCAACGACAACCAACGCATCTGCTCTGTCAGGCTCCTTCTGTCAACAGCACTTACACAAGCTTTTCTTTGTTAGAAAAAGGAAAAAATGAGCTGACATTGTGTTTGTGCTCGTCATTAACGTGTAGGATCCTGATAAAGGTGAACTATTGTGGAGCTACAGTATAAACTAATAGTAAGTCCCTTGATAACTTCTGCTGGCAGAACTGGATTTCAGGTCCTGCTTTAGTTCTCACTTCCCAGCATGAAGCAGCGAGATGCAGGGAACATTACTAGAACCTCTGAAAATTAAAATACCGTGAACTTGTACGACTTTATTCCTGAACAACTTCATATACAGACAGATTATAATTAAAGGTATGAAGAGTTCATGCATTAATTCAGGCCTGTTATGCTTCCTCTCCCTTCTACACACTGTGGTATGGATGTAGTTATTTAGGAGCCAGGATGCCAGATAATATTCATATGAACTAAGAACATCCACGCAGGGAATTGATCAAGAATAGATAGAAGCAGTGTGAACTTGTTTTCTTTCCATCCCCTCCATTTGCAGTGAGTCCAGTGATTTCAGAAACTACACCACATCCTGGACAAACCATTAATTGTTAGTACTGGCCTTGCAATATGAAGGGTGGTTCCCTCCAGGCTTTGGGGCCCTGGGTCAGTTCAGGCTTCTTTGCAAGACCATAGACTAAACCCGTGAAAACCTACAGTCCTATATGAAAAGCAGATGAGCTGCCTTGCAGATGCACTTCCAAGCCAGCAAAATGTGAGATGGGCAACCCCACGGCTGGTATGTTAGTCTTCTCAAGCCCCTGGCACAGGTGGTGATGCTGTCAAGATTACCTAGGAGCGTTCCCAAATACAGCCAATCAGAGCATGGAGTGTCTACCCTGCAAAAGGTTTACCCCAGTCCTCTACTGATCCTATGGATAACAACCTACCTATAGGGCCCATGGGTGTGCCTAGCTCTTCATAAGTATTTACAGATTGGCAAGCATTAACTTGCTAATCCCATTGCAGCAAGGTAACCTAATTAACATATGTTTGTAAAACACTGATGATAAGCCACCCACAGACATGTGCCACATATGACTAGTATCTGTTTACACCCCTTGCCCCAAAAAAAAGAAACCCAAACCAAAACAAAAAAAAACCAAAACAAGCAAAACCTACTCTCACCTGCAGAATGAAAGCTGCTACCTGGAGACTTTCTTTGCCAGGGCCAGCTCAGCTGAACACAATAGGCATAGTTATCTATGAGAAGGACCATTAAACACTTCAATGGCTCTTAAACATGAAACCACCTTTGGGCTGGGAGGGGCACGGTTGGTTCATCCAGTTAGTAAGAAAAAACAACCAACCAACCAACAAAAAAAAAACCTGCAAAGGAATTCACTACTTCTAGGTGCTAGGCACAGCTATAGAAAAGAGCAAAGTTTCCCAGTCCTTCCACAGTCGGTAGAGGCATTTGCAGCTGCATAAAGAGGATGTGAAGTTGTGCTAAACCACAGTGTAAGCATTTTACAACTTCTGGCTCTTCTAAATGACTGATCACACCAGCCGCTGAACAGGATTATGGGGTGTGCGTTTATTTCTGTGAACAGGGAGCTGAGGAGATCACCTGCTGAATTAATGCCTCTCTGGAAAGTTTTCTGTTTCCCAACAGATTTGGTTTTAACAAGTCAGCAAAGGTTATGAGTATAGTGTGTGCTGGGAGGGGGCTGGTGGAAGAGGAAATAATTGCTGAATTAGAAAGCAGAAATAAACAGAAAGCAGCAGAACTAAGAGCAGGCATGAAGTGCCTGACACTGTTATCCCCTTTCTTCAGGTGGGATGTCAGCTCTGAAGGGGATCATTTTTTGGGTGGTCTTCTCCAGAAACTTCACCCAGACCTAGAACAGCTTCGTCACTGCCCCCCTACCCATTCAATGCAGGCTCCTGTAGCGTCATGGCTGGTTTGTTTTCTTGCCAGAGGTGCTCTGTCACCACTAACAGTCCTTTCCAGCCAAAGATAAATAGGAGGAACAGCCGCATATTGTCTGGAC